GGCGGGGTGCTGTTCTGCAACTTCCTCCGGCCCAGAGGGTGAGGCAGGGACCGCACATTTGTTCACGCATCCTCCTCTCACATGTTTCTGCTCATAGCAGTGTTTCACCCACAGGCAGGGGACTTGCGGGACGGCTCTGGCCAAACCATTTGCTCACCAGGCATTCGCTGTGATTTCCTCTTCAGCTGCCCTTTCTCTGTCTTCTTCCAGAATCCTCTGGCCCACAGGGACATCCTGCTGCAGGTGCCAGCTCTGCAGGCTGGAAACTTTATTTCACCACCAGGGATGATTTGCATGGACTTTGACTTGGCACAGATGCTTAAAGCAAAACATAATGTACAAGGGTGTGATGTAGACTTACAACGCTGGAAAAAATGTGCCTGAGAGCCAGTTGCAAGTAGCTTCTGGCACCACTGCACCCTAAGTCAAAGTGCACAGGACTTTATTTCTGAAGTAGGCTGGCAAGGGGTTGAGTGGACTGTCACCAACTCAGGGTCCCAGTCCTGGCTTACTGCCCTGCATGCATTATTTCCTTATTATAGCTGTGAGGTTATTCTCCCCATTTTACAGATTAAGGGACAAGAACACAGAAGTGACTTGTCCAGGGTCCACACAGCCAGTAATGGCAGAGCTGGGATTCAAATCCCAATTGGCCTGTCAACACCTACCATGTTGCTGTTTTTGTTTGAGCATCTTGTACAACTCCTGGCACATAGTAGGTGCTCAGCAAATGTTTTTTGACTAAACAAACATGTCCAAACTCTGGAAATGAGTCAACCTTGAAGGGGCTTTTTATCTTTTGCACTGTAACAGTCCCTCTCTCTGTCCCAAACCAAACCAAAAGTCAACAACAAAACCAGCTAGACTCAGAGATGCTCACTGCTCTCCCACTGACCAGTTACTTCCAGAGCCGTCCTTTCCTGCCCTACCTTGCAAGCAGCACCTTGTCTTGGGAAGGGTGTTAGGCACCCCATTTCCTCCATACGAGGTATGAGTACCACATTCAGCCCAGTGCGCCATCAGGGCCTTTTTTTGTGGAGAAATGTGGAAAGCATGACTGTCATCCTTGGGGAATTAATTACAGATGCCTTTAAGGACCTGATGCTGCTGCTCTCCAAGATGCACCCTTGGAGGCCCAGCTCCAATTATTGCTAGTCTGAGGCAGGTCTGAGGATAAGGGTGACCAATTTTCTTGGTTTTCCTGGACATTTCCAGTTTTAGCACTAAAGCCCACCATCTCTAGTGTCATTTAGCTGATTAATTCTGCCAGTTACTATGGTAGAAATAGCTGAGGTATTTTGCAATTTTTTGAAAGAAGCCAAAAACAGGACATGTAGGGTTTCCTGACAAAGCCCTCACAGGAGTAGAACAAAATCACCAAGCCCAGAACATATCTGTGTAGCAACTTACATATCTCGGAACATCTTGGTCCCAGGATGCCAGAAGGGTTGATCACCTGACTAAGAAGCCATGTTAAGAGCTGGGCATCTCTCCCAGAGACACTGACATTTTATTAGGAATTTCGGGATGACACAAGGCTTCATTCCAGTGTGTCTCGGCCCAGGCCACACATTAGGGTCACCTGGGCAACTAAAGGCACTGAAGCATGGGCCTTAACCTAGGTGCATCTGTAAGGTTTAAAATCTGCCCCAGGCAATTCAAGTGCAGGTTCAAACCATTGTGTTCATTCCCAGGTTGCCTGGGAAACTGGTGGAAAGCACAGACCTCTCTGCACTGATCCAGGGCTCGTGAATCAGAGTTCTAGGGAGATTTGGGGTAATAAACCCACAGATACTCTTGAGGCCACATTGGCGGGAGGCTCCACCTCAGCCAAATGAACTCATTAAGCAAAAGGGATCCCAGCTGCTGAAATGGGCTGGCGGGGGTGGGGTAGGGGATGTCCACCTTGGAATCTGACA